AAGATGCATGAAATACAATGCGATTCTAATATAAATTTGGTGCGTCTCCCATATTTTTTATATATTTTTTTATTTTTTACATTAATGGTCAAAATTAAACCTTAAACCCTAACATCTTACACCTAAATCTTAATCTCTAAATCCTAAGCTCTAACCCTTAAATCATATATATAAACCTAAACCTAAAATCCTAAACTCTAAATCACACATCTAAACCTTAAACCCCAAATAAAAAAACATTAAAAAACAAAATAATGGGAGACACATTGCACTCCATGTGTCTCCCAAAATTGTATTCGAAGTCGTATTATACACAATAAGTCTTAAACTTTAAAAAAAAAAATTAACTTATCATTATTCGAACCAATAAAAAATTCCAACACATTATTTGAAAATTTTTCCCAAGGGCAAGCATTAGGCTTCGTCTCTATAAAGGGGTAAATTCTTTTCTTAAGCCCTTTATAAATTATAATTTAATATATGATCAAATTATTTTCATCTCCTAAAATAATAAAATAATAATTTTATCATTTAAAAACTATTAAATTATAAACTAACACAATTATAAAATTATAGTTTTACCCTTATAAAAATATTATTTAGTTTCGCCTAAAAAGAATTATGTGAAAAGGCTGCGAAGATTTTTCTTTTACACCTTTCTTATATGATCCAAAACCCATATAAAGTACTTATAAACTAATTAAATTGGAGAGGATATTACGCGTTTCAATTTAGGACAAAGTACAAAAATAATCCCCCGATTATATAGTGTTATTTTATTGAGTCATTCGTTTATTAAAAATTACAAAATACTTCTTCGATTTTAAGGTGTTGTTGTTGAGTCCATCGACTATTAAAAGTTATGAAATAGTTACCCAACTATTCATATGTTTCAAAAGCGTTATTTTTTGTTAAAATTTGATGGTCATCTAAGCTAGACGTTAACTTGTTGACTAAAATATAATAAAACTATATTTTAATGATGTCTACTGACACTGTAGTTACTTACAAGCATTAGTTCAACGACATAATATTTCAAGCACTAGCTCGATGACATCATTTAAATAAAGACTTAATCTAAATACAACTCAAACAATTTTGGGATAAAATTTTATCATATTCTAATGAACATGTTATCGTCCAACTCATACTACGCCAATTTTTTAAAGGGAAATGAAGAGTTTAAAATATATGAATGGTTGAGTAATTATTTTATAATTTTTTAATAGACAAAAGACTTAACAAATCAATATCCTATCGTAGAGAGATCGTTTCATAAATTTTAATAGTAGGAAGACTCAATAAAATAATATCCTATAATAAAGAGACTTTTTATGTATTTTACCCTTAAATTTAATACATGAATAAAAACCCATCCCATTCCAATACGCATATGTTAGTCATCCCTAATTGGCAATACAAACTATAAATGTTGGTTTTCCATCCTTAATGGACAAATACAACAGGACAACCATTAAAGAGAGAGAATAAAGAGAGAGTAAGACATACTACATTTTCAGCCAAATATTATTACTTTTTATTAACGTATTATTTGATGAAATAAAAAACTAAATATTTTATTTAAGTTTTTATTCTTTCTGATATATTATTTAAAATTAAAATATAAAATATAATTAAGTTATTTGAAAATTTTAAATTTTAATAAATAATGTAATCTCGGAAATATGAGATAATTGTTTATTTTATTGATATAGGATGATTATAATTGATAATATATGTTCTAAAGACTTTCAATCATTTAACATCAAACGCACAAATACCCTACAATCATTGATTCTCAAACTCGAAACCTCTAGGGATAACAACAAAGTTTATATTTTTATCAAATAAATTCTATTAAATAAATTTTATTTTAAATTATTAATCTAAAATTATTTTACTAAATAATTTTTATTTAATTTATTATTCTATATATATATATATATATATATATATATGAAAAAGATAAAGAGATAACAATATACAAAATGGAAAGGTATTTTACCCACCATTTTCTGTTTAATAATAAAAAAGAAATCAAACCATTCAAAACCCATAGGTTAACAATAATATATAGGGATGTCTATCGATAACATTAATATAAGGTTAAAGAAAATGTTTTCAGAAAATTAATATTATTTTAATATTTTTGGTAAAACATTGTCAAAATCATTATTTTTTCTACCGAAAATATTAATATTGGACGTTACTTAAAATATTTTTTTTCTACTAAAAATTAGGTAGTAAAATTAATATTTTCGGTAAAACAAATACTATTTTAAGTAGTATTTTACGAAAATATTAATATATAGCGCCTTACTTAGCTACCCATAATATATGGGGAAGTCTCACGTGCGGCAGCCTAATATATGGTTAAGGAAATACGCTATTGGAAATATTATTATTTTTTAATATTTCCTGTAAAAAATTACCTAAAACATTATTATTTCTACTAGAAATATTATTGGGTACTTTACCGAATTTGTTAATATATCTAATAAAACGTTATCTAAAATATTATTTTTTTTACTAAATATATTAATATTAGATAATTTACCGAAAATATTAAAAATATTATTATTTTAATTAAAAATAATAATATTTTAAATAAGTTTTTACCGAAAATAATAAAAAATAATAATAATTTCAATAACACATTTTCTTAATATAGTATATTAAAGGTGCCGTAAATGAGAGCTCCCCATAATATATATTCCTGAGCTGAACGCAGTTTTGTCGTCCCTAATCGTAAACACAAACGAGAAAGCAGCAGCCATTAAAGAGAGAGAAAAAGAACTCTACTCCAGTTTTGCTTGGGGAGGTGGTGGTTGTAACTGTTGCAAGTGATGCTAATGGCGGCCTTCTCAGCCACGATCTCCGGCTCCTCACGCTCCCTCTCATCTACCTCATTGCCTAAGCGGAAGATCTCTGCTTCTTCTCCTTCTCCTCAATGCCGCTCCTTTCCTCTTCCCAAGCCTTTTCCTCCTTACAGGTTTTCAGTTTTTCCGCTTCAGTTCTACTAACTCGGTTTGGTTCTCAGGAAATGATGCTTATTGCTGGCCAAATGATAGCTATAACGCGTTATTTATCTATTTATCTTTTGTTTTTTCTGCTCTTTAAGCATGTTTGAAGTGTTTCTTCCTTTTTAATGTTTTTAATTTCATGGAGGTAAAATCGATCTGGTCTTATTTCGATTATGATTATAAGTATATAGCTTAGATGCAAGGAGATAAAAAAATGGACAGCGGTTGTATATAGATTGATCTTGCTCCCAAATTTTGAATTGATTTGCTTGTTTCTTATAAAAAATCTAGGAAAGAAAGAAAAGAAAAAGAGAGAGAGGAAGTAGTGTGAATATATTTATATTGTTTAGACTTTTATGAATAACAAATGAACTTTTTAGTTCATTATGGATCGATTGTGTCTATTAATTTATTTTTTAAGGTTGAACTTTTTGCTACTTTAATTCCTGTATTTATGATTACGGTCGTGTTTCTAAGCAAATCTTGAAAACCTACCGACTTACTTCACTGTGATGAGTGCTTTTGATGCTTTGTGCCTATGGTGTTGTAAGGACCTTAATGCCTAGAGCCTCTCTTTTGCTATGTAAAACTACGGTTGAAGTCCTTGTAATATAGGCATAGGCTATTGATGTGTTGAATGCTCAAATATGTACCCACAATTGAGATTCAGCCAATTCAAACAACAATAGCCTAGGCTAATTGCTTATTGAAAATGTGGACCCTTGTTTTCTTTCCCACAACAATATAAATTTAAACACTTAAGTAGCTAATATGGAGGATCTGGGTAATTTTTTTGGACTTGTCATCAAATAACCTGTCCTTTTATATCCCAATTGGCTTTTCTGTTATTATGTTTTACTAAGAAACTAATGAGTTTATCTTATTATCTATGTATTCCAGATTAAATATTGGTTCTCGGTTGGAAAGAGGGAAGTCATTAACTATTTGTTCCCAGACTTCAGTATCAGGTTTGTTTTACATGTAGTTCTCTTTCATGTTTTTAATAGCAAGTTTTGGATTCATTTCATATCTTTACTCTTGAAGCCTGTTTCAATTTTCTCTCTGGTATCTATCATTGATGTCTCTGCAATTGTTATCTGATATAGTCATTATTTAAGACGAACTTCTATAGAATTTATTTGTTGTGTAACTTATGTAATTTATCCGTGTGTGTGCGTCAATGGGTATTGGATCTCTTTGTTCATTGATTTAGGTGCTAGGCTTTACTGAAATCATCTAAATGTTAATCAGTACCAGAGGCAATTTTCTACAGCTTTGACTTTGGACTTCTGTTTCTTTTACCTTGATCCACCTTTGTACCGCATTTAGATTTTCCATGTATAATTTCCTTAAGAGAGAGACCGGGAACTACTCTTGTCTTCAAAACGTAAAGAGTAAAAATAAGATAACAGAAAAAAGAAGGAAATGATGATGGTTTTTTAGTTTTTAATTTAATTTTTGTAATATTGTTGCTATATTAGCTTAGTTTTTGTCTCATCACTACCTTAATAATGCATAAGCTGAACCTACTGTTTAAATTTGACACTGAATGCAATTTGTTCCATTCCACTCCAGTAAATGTTGAGACTAAATTTCAAAAATTAAACTATATGGATTGACTTTTATATGTCCTTTGATCTAGCGAATTGAGTAGTCCTTTTCAACCAATAGAAAATATCTGCTGGGATAAACATTGTAATTAATGTTAGCCTGATTTACATGATTACATATATCACATATTTGCTTAATCAAATAGTCTGTAGGTTATTTACTACTGGTTATTGATATTTAAAAGTTACATCTTTACTTTCTCTCTCATTTACAGATATCTCCGTCGAGAAATAGATGGATGAAGTAAATCTTCCGAAGGGAGACATGTGGGCTGTCCATAAGTTTGGGGGCACTTGTGTTGGGACCTCCCAGAGGATCAAGAATGTCGCAGATATAATTATTAGCGATGATTCAGAAAGATAGTTGGTAGTGGTATCGGCCATGTCTAAGGTGACAGATATGATGTTTGACCTTATCAATAAGGCACGATCAAGAGATGATTCCTACATCTCTGCATTGGATGCTGTCTTAGAAAAACATAATTCTACAGCACTTGATTTGCTTGATGGAGATGATCTTGCTACTTTCTTATCTCAACTGCATCATGATGTTAGTAACCTCAAAGCAATGCTTCGTGCAATATATATAGGTTAGAACACACTCTCTGACCTCTGTTCACATCTTTTTTAGACCAAAATGAGTTGGGTGATTAGTGCAGTTTTGTATGTTTGATTGCTAATTTTGTTTAAGCAAGGATACTGTTGTTAATGTGCTGATAAATGTGTTCTTCATATGCTATATTAAAAATATTTTTCTCGGAAAGAATCTAACAAATCTTCAGAAGACTAGGTTAAATCAATTTTTACTTGTTTGTCTTTGTTCATAGGAGTTAAAAAAAGGCCACTAGTGGTACTGATGGCTCCTCAATCTATTATCGAACCAGCAGCAGTTTCAATTTTGTAATTTTATCAAGTGCATTTGCAATAGTAGTCATTGTGATTTTCTTTTCTTTCCCACCTCCTTCTGTCCCTCTTAACCAAGGACATGAGGATTTTCCAGCATCCAATCTAAATGTTAACGTGTTCTCTATGAGTCAATCAATTGCATTCAAAATGTCATATACAGAACTTGTTTTCATTGTTATTGGTTTTTCCATTTCTTTCATGGGTTTTCCAACAAGTAATTTATCCAATGGTTTGTTTGGTAATAATAGGAAATTCTGTGTATTAATTATTTAGAACATTTTAAAACTGTAGAACCACCATATCCCTTGAACAGGTATTTATGTAATTGATTTGGATCTCGACCTTATGTCTCTCCTGAAACATCATTCTTTTGTAGTTCGTTATGGAAAAAATTATGTTCTTTAGGTTAACATTGTTTTTCTGTCTCGTGTATGTTTCTTGCCATAAAACGTGTCATCCAATGATTTGAGTAATTTCATGATAATTTACTTCATTTTCTTAGATTCGTTGTAGAACTTGACGTGCAAGGGGGCAGTAGAATCTGGTTCTAGTTGGTTTAGTAATGATAGAGTTTTCTGCCTGGTCCAACTACAAGAAGTAAAAAAGACTAAAAACATCTTCAAAATTTATGTGGATAATGTGGCTGCCATTTTTCGATTATAAGTAATTGTATTGAAACAACTTTGATTACTTGAACCTTAATGCTAGATTTTTCTTTTCTCTCTCTGTTAATGTTTTGCTAATACTTATTTAGTTTTAACATGTTCCTGGAAATAATTATATGAAATTCACTTCAGGTATATGATTAGCAAAAAGAAGAATTTGTATGACATGGTTGGTTTACTTTAAATGGGTCAGTTACTTTACCACAAAGAGTTTCAGTTTTGGCTTTCCCTTTTGCATTTATTGTTTCAACTTTGTATTTTGTATAGACGCAAAGATTTGGCTTTATGTGGACTGCTCAGCTCAAATAAATTTTATCAGTGATCACTGTTTCCAGGAGAGGAAGATGAAAGGAAACATACATTTCCTCTCGTTGTTGTTGTGCACTTATTAAGTTGTTTTCCCTTGCACTAGCGAAATTACTGAGCTTTAGTTATTCAAATAGTTGTGTTAAGTTCATTTTCAGGTCTTGAGTTCTAGATTCTAATTCTTGCTACTTTTATTGAAGTTTTCCATTACCATAGTTTAACCTGACAGTCTTGTGGTAATTTGTATTCTGTTTCTCCTTTTATAGTGTGACTAATACTTCTTCTAAAGGATTATTTCTTGTCATGTAAACTTACATGCTTATCTTTTCCTCCATTTCAGCTGGTCATGTCACAGAATCTTTCTCAGATTTTGTTGTTGGACATGGGGAATTATGGTCTGCTAAATGTTATCATATGTTGTTGGAAAGGTATGCGTTTCTATTTTTTGTTAATTATAACTTTTGGGGATGTTATATGATGAATTGTGAAATGAATTTTGGTACAGAATGGGATAGATTGCAAATGGATGGATACAAGGGAGGTACTTATTGTAAATCCCACTAGTTCTAACCAGGTCGATACTGATTTCACGGTATCCGAAAGAAAACTGGAAAAGTGGTTTTCACAGAATCCGTCTAAGATAATTATTGCTATTGGATTCATTGCCAGTGTTGGAATTCCTAGAATCAAGGAACAATAACTTTTTTCTTAATTCTAGGAGTTTGCCTTATGTAAATAGTCAACTAATCTAATTCCCCGATCTTAGGAATTATTTCCTAACTTAGAGTAGTTCTTCCTTATAAATTGTAATTTACGTTTAGAGCAGCAATAAACTAAGAATTTCATTTCTTCTCACATTTGTTCATGGCATCAGAGCTGTAGGACTCATTCGATCCTATTATGCTCTTCTTCTAGAAATTGTTCTTGCGTTGTTTTCTTCCTATGGCAGAACAACCAGAAAATCTTTTCGAATCTAAAACCTCAGCTCTTGTATCATCCAACACTTCATCCTCTATAGAAAATACCTTCGATGTCTGCCTAACCAAATCTCAACTTAAAGCCCTACACAAGATACTTGAAACACCTACTGCTCATGGATCCTTGGCTATTCAAGGTATTGCTTTTAATATTACTTCGGATTCAACTAATCAATCCGCTTGGATCCTGAATTCAGGTGCCTCCGACCACATGATAGGTAACTCATCCCTGTTCCATAGTTACATCCCTAGTTACATCCCTTGTCACAATCAATCTCGTATCCGAATAGCTGATGGTTCATACTCGCCTGTTGCTAGGACTGGGGCAGTTCAACTCACTGAAAAACTCTCTCTTGACAAAGTCTTACATGTCCCAAGTTTATCTTGCAATTTACTGTCAGTTAGTAAACTAATTGAGGATAATGATGCTCTTGTTGAATTTTCTGCTCGTGGTTGTGTTGTACAGGAATAGAAATCGGGGAAGATGATTGGCACTACTAAGGTTGATGATGGACTCTACATATTGAATAAAGACAATAAGAAAGGAAGTTTGGCGTTATCTGCTTCTCATGAGGACACAATTATGTTGTGGCACCAAAGGCTAGGACACCCAAACTTCTTGTACATGAAGTATGTATTTCCACTGTTATATCAAAATAAAAATCCAAATTTCCTAAAGTGTGAAATCTGCCAACTCTCAAAACATACTCGTGTTCCTTATACATTAAAACCTTACATCCAATTCAAACCTTTCTCTTTAATACACAGTGATCTATGGGGGGCTAGCCGAGTGAAAAATATTACGGGGGCTAGATGGTTTATAACATTTATTGATGACCATACTAGAGTTTGTTAGGTTTATGTATTCCAAAATTTTCATTCAATGATTAGAACCCAATTCCATTCCACCATACAAACGCTCCGCACCGATAATGGAAGAGAGTACTTCAACTCGATTTTAAGTCCTTACCTTGCAGAACAAGGCATCATACACCAAAGCTCCTGTCCAGACATACCACAACAAAATGGAATTTCGGAAAGGAAAAATTGGCACCTATTAAATGTTGCTCAAGCCCTAATGTTTACCACAAATACCCCAAAATACCTATGGGGAGAGGTTGTTCTAACCGCATGCTACCTAATTAACCGAATGTCATCCAAAGTCCTTAAATTTCAAACACCTCTAAATACCCTTCAAAAAGTTTTCCCTCTTTTCCATGTTCCTACCTTACCGATTAAATTATTCGGGTGTAAAGCCTTTGTCCATAATCATCAACCCAACCTATCTAAACTTGACTCTCGTGCTCATACTTGTGTTTTTGTTGGCTACTCCCCTACGCAAAAAGGGTACAAATGTTACTCACCTACTTTGCATCGTACATTTGTTTCCCGAGATGTAACCTTCTTTAAAACATAACCATATTTTTCAGCAACTCATCTTCAGGGGGAGATTCTCAATGAAGATGAGAACCTCAATACCCTCCTTATTACTCTACCACCCGATCTTAATCTACCACAAAATTTTCATACAAATGACATCCTCATAGTCTCCTCACAGCAGCCACCTAATGACATCCTCATAGTCCCCTCACAGCAGCCCTCTTCCCAACAGCACAATGATGATCCTAGTCTGCAAAAACAGCAACAGCTTGCTCTTGAAACTCAGTTACTTTGTGCTCATGAACTCCGAGTTTCTTCAAGGCTTCATTACTCTCCTGAAAATGACATAGCAGTGCCAAATTCATCTACAACCGTGGACTGTTCTACAACAGAGGTAACCCTTGATTCTCCATCTATTGATCTCCCAATTGCTATTCGAAAAGGTGTAAGGACCTGCACCCAACACCCTATCTCTCAGTTTGTGTCTTATGGAAATCTTTCCAAATCCTACAAAAACTTTTTGACAAATATTGACCATGTAAAAACTCCAAGGGATGTGAAGGAAGCTCTTGAATCACCCGAATGGAAACATGCTGTAATGGAAGAAATGAATGCTCTAAAAAACAATGGAACATGGGAAATCTCGGATCTGCTTGAAGGGAAAAAAACAGTAGGCTGTAAATGGATTTTCACCACCAAATTCAAAACTGATGGAACTATTTGATGAGTGTTCAGAATCTTTAATCTTTGCTCGTTATTTCTTCGATTTTGTGGAGTTATTGCTGCTGATTTAGTTGTGTTATGCCTATTTTCGTTCATGTCCTTACTTTCTAAAATTAATGATAAAACATGCGAATTCTGTATTTTTTATTATTATTTGGTCACGGCTGGAGACATAGGCACGACGTGGTCTGACGTGGCAGTTTCTAAAAGGTCCAGTCAGCGGCGGTTTCTATAAGACTTCATCCGCACGCCCTTGTAGACAAAGTAACCGACGTGAATCCCGAAGAGAAAATCTTATTCGATGATCTAAAGGAAATTGAATCAAAGCGAAGCTTGAGGCGATTTTTACCATATTTATTTATAATCTTCATCATCCTATTTTTACTTTAATTGCTTTAATTTATTTACTCGCTTTTACTATTTAAATATCACATTGCACCCCCCCATTTTACTATTTTTCGCCTGGTTAAAAATCATTCAAACATAAATTTGTGATTTTCTAAGTCCCTGAGGATTAGACCCTTATTTCTCTTTACTACGTATTTCCTTTATTTATTGATTGAGAATAAGGAATTTATTTTGACACCGAAACGACATTTGTTAAATTGGCGTCGTTGCTGGGGATTTCGCCAAAGTCACTAATTTTTGTTTGCTTTTGATTTATGACCAGGACTAATCCGGGTACATTAGTGGAGTACGACCCGGAGATCGAAGCTAAAGTTAGGAGACTCCACGCACAGACACTTCGGGAAAGGAGACAACAAACGAATCCAGAAGAAGAATCAAATTTAGGTAATACAATTCCGATGGCCGAACCTACTACTCGGGAGTTAGCCGCGGCACCCACTGAACAAGGACCTATGTGCAGTGATTTTTCACAAGGCGAAACTCCGTACCAATTGAAAATCGGCCTTATTCATCTCCTCCCTACATTCCGTGGATTGCCAAACGAGGATCCACACAAACATCTCAAGGAATTTCACATGGTCTGCTTCAGCATGACACCACAAGGAGTAACCGAGGACCAAATCAAACTTAGAACTTTTCCTTTTTCCTTAGCCGATACGGCTAAGGAGTGGTTATTTTATCTTCCTCCTAATTCTATTACTACGTGGGCTCACATGACTCATTTTTTTCTTGACAGGTTTTTCCCTGCGGTAAAAGTAAGTGAACTACGAAGAAGAATACTCAGAATCAAACAACTTGATGGAGAGTCACTTTACGATTATTGGGAGCAGTTTAAGAAGTTATGTTCTAGTTGCCCACAACATGGGTTAACCGAACAAACACTTCTTCAATATTTTTATGAAGGATTATTTCCCCTGGAAATGAAGATGATCGATGCTGCCAGGGGTGGAGCCTTGGTGAATATGACTCCTACTGAGGCTAGAGACTTAATATCGACGATGGCTGTAAATTCCCAGCAATTTTGCATAAATAATGAACATTCTTGAAGGGTTCATGAGATAAGATCTTCCTTGGAAAGTAAAATAGATAAATTAACTGAAATCGTAAACTCTCTTATTGTAGGACAGATAAGATAAAACCGAGTATGTGGAATATGTGCGTCGCTTGATCATCCAGCAGACGGTTGTCCACTGATTCAAGATGACGCATCAGTTCAAGTCAACACACTCGGAAACTTTCCGGGACCTCCCCAAAGAGCTTATAATCCTTACGGTAATACATACAATCCAGGATGGAGGGATCATCCGAACTTCAGTTACGCTCATAACCCGAGACCGAATCAAGGCTATCAAGCAAGAGCTCCACCATCGCAACAACCACAGAAGTCATCATTAGAATCGATTGTCGAGAGGTTAGCACTTTCCCAAGAAAAATTCCAAACTCGAACTGAAGCACACTTCCAAGAGATTGACAAATAGATAAGCCAAATAGCTCAAACCGTAAGCCACTTTGAATCACAAGGTTAGTTTCCATCTCAAACTGAAGTAAACCCGAGGGAGAACGTCAGCACCATCACTCTTCGGAGCGGTACAGTAGTGGGACCACCTGTTCCATTGAACGAAGTGACCTAGAAAGAGAAGAAGATTGATGATTCAGGGTCCCAGGAGGAGAATAACGAAGAACAAATAGACGACCCAACGTCATTTCCCTATGACGTGCCACTACCTTTTTCGTCGAGGCTAGTCAAAAGAGATAAAAAAACCGTTGAAAAGAAAATATTAGACGTACTTCGGAAGGTGGAAGTTAATATACCTCTCTTTGAGGTTATCCGGAAGGTTCCAAAGTATGCCCGATTTTTAAAGGATCTCTGTACAACAAAAAGAAAGCTTACCGGAGTCGAGAAAGTAAGTCTAGGAGCAAACGTCTCAGTCGTTTTCCAACGAAAGTTACCACCTAAACTGAAGGACCAAGGTATGTTTGCAATCCCTTGTAAAATTGGTAAGGTTGAGATTAAACGAGCTATGTGTGATCTTGGTGCATCAATTAATGTAATGCATCTATCTGTCTATAAA